CGAGAAACTAGAAACAACAATCAGAACGGATATATGTACCCTTGTGTTCATAGCTGCACCATTTATAATAGTTAAGATTTGGAAACAGCCAAAGTGCCCATTAGCTGATGAGTGGATAACAAAAACTGTGGTACATTTAAACAATGGAATAGTACACGCCTTTAAAAATGAGGAACTCTTTCCATTTGCAACAGTATGCATGGACCTGGAGAGTATTATGCTAAGCAAAATAAGCCAGTCAGAAAAAGATAAGTATCACATGAACTACTCATATGTAGAATCTAATGAACAAAATAAATTGACAAACAAAATAGATTCAGAGACAAAACCATGCATAGACTGATGAATTTCAGGGTAAAGGTGGGGGTGGAGAGTGTGTGTATGTGTGTGGGGTGGGGGTAGAGGTTAATCGGGGAATTTATGTGCATATACGCATAGCCCATGTACACAGACGATAGCGTGGTAAAGACTTGGGAGGGGCGAGTATGGGGAGGAGGTGGTCAATGGGGAAAAAATACACAAGGCAGACACCTGTAATACTTTCGGCAATAAAGATAAATTTAAAAAATAAATAAACATTAAAATAAAATCTCAGGAACTGTCATCCAGGTAATGCTTTGTCAGCTGTATAATAGCTTTATCTTCCATTCTTCACAAAAAGTCATTACAGACACAATTACCTCTAACTTCCTATAATTATGACATTCATCTATAATAAATTACAAATCACAGGAAAACTGCAAAGTTGACTCAGCTGATGACAGCACTTTTAGATATTACACAGATTTGTATTAAAAAAACGGCCATTAGTTTATCATTTTTTGACTTGCCATAAAATGCTTTGACTAGTCATCTAATGTATTTACTTTTGATGTAGAAGTTATATTTTATTTATTCTTATTTTTTTGAAAGACTAGCTTTAATACATTAATAAATAGTAAGCTTTATAAAAGTTAGTTTTTATACAAAATTATATAATTCTGGGTATATGCTAAAAGTATAAAGTATATCAGATTTTAGCACAAATGGGAGGATAAAGGTGAATTTGTCAGAGAATGTAAGTTGAAGTAGTTAGAAATTAACTCTGTGATTCTATTCCTACTTAAGTCATTCATACAATGCACACAGAATCTGAATTTCTCCATTTAACTCTGCGGTACCGTTTGTTTGGCTTTCTGTAGCTCTATTCTGAGATTCTTACAGTCTTTCTTCATCAGTTCTAGTTCATGTTCCAAGCCGTGGATCTTCAGGTCACAACTCAACTTTTCCACCTCCCAGTGTGATGAAGGTGGATTTAAATTCCGTATCACCTACTGAATTTCCACCTCTGTTCTCAGCTGGAGGAGTGCTACTTCTTTAGGCTGCAGCTGTTCATTCAATACTTTCAAAGATTCAGAGTTGTCTTTATTCATTTTACCCAATTTGCTCTTTAAATGATCTCTATCAATGCAAACCTCTCGATATGCATGATAGGCCTTATTTACTTGTTCTCGTCCCACAGAACTTGTTTCTTCATCTAATAAAGCGCCTGTAAGCTTTTCTTCCAAAAAAACTTATTCTTTTCTTTAGGAAAGAGTTCTCTTTTTCTGAATCCTTGAGTCGTTTTTTGATGTCTTCATATGCAGTGACAAGGGCAAAATGTGAAGCAACAGACTCATCTGAATATATTGAGACCCGAGTCACTGTATCTCTCCCGTGGGCTTTTTCAGGATTTAGAAGGCAGAGATCATCTTCTACCAGTGGGTCCCTGACAGCCCTAAGTCAGGCTACTTAGCCCCGCGGAGTTTCGATTCCCCAGCGTTCGGAAACGGGTCGCCAGGGGTCGCCACGGGCTTCCGGTTTCCTGGAAGACACTGCACTGCCCAGGCGAGGCCGCAGCTCCCGGTACACCGCGGAGGGGTTCCCATTGCTTTGGCCTCGGCTGCACCAGGACCGACCGGTGGGCTGGGGCCCGGAGGATCGGGAAGGAGTGGCAAGCCACGCGCGCGAGCCCAGGACCGCTGGCGCCGGCGCCCGCA